CTTTCCCTTCTTGTCTTCCGTTCATTCTGTCCATTTTGACAAAACTGAGATTGGGTGGGAAGTGGGGGCTGACTTTGAACATTATCTTTTTAAAAGTGCCAATCTACTATTAATCCTCAGTGATGGCTTCGACTCAGAACACCCTCGACAGCACCCCAGAATCCCAGAGGTCCCCACCACACTGAGCTGCTGGCATGTACGTGCACAGAATCCTCAAGGTAAAGCTCTATATCTTCAAATACTCCATGCAAATTAATGTCAATCACTTATTTAGATATTTCAGAGTACAAGAACGGGACTACAGTTGGGACACAGACAGAGCAAGACCTCTAAAAGCCTAGGTAAAAGTGCAACTGTGGAACAGTCACGGAAGAGATATCCCTGACAGACTATCATGAGGCAGCTCCTGAGGAATGTTTGTTGACATTACTATCACAAACAGTATTTCACTTTCCTCCAGGTGGATGATTTACTCTTGCCACTTGCTACATGTGGGAGGGGAGAAAACTGTACAACACATGCCATACAGCAAGGCAGCACCCTGCCCCTAGGTAGTCATCTAGAAAATCGTGAGCAGCACAGAGCTGTTCTCTGAAATGCCAAGGAATTATCTTAATCTCTCAAAATATATCACTGTGTTCCATCCAGAGTGCAATTTTCCTGTGTGACTCAAAGGGAAGGTCAGTAGAGTCCAACACTGACTGAGGCACAGTGATGGCTTTCCTTTCACAAACCCTCACACACCTTTCTTACACATGTTAGATGAGAAAAGGTTTGCAAAATGAGACTCTAAATACAGAACAGCAAAGAAATATGGAGAATATTGAAAGAGGAAGAAGGAAGGAGCCTACCTCTCCGACTCGTAAGGGTCAGGAAGAAGGGCATTTGTAGAAATGCAGGACGAAGTAGATTTGTCAAAACTGTATACAGGGCCTAAAAATTCCAGAAATCAACATGGGAAATAAATTAATTGGCAGTACTGAGAGCATGCAACCCTTAACCGAGACATTAAAAAATTAAATTGTAATGGCTGCAAAACACATTCTGCTTCCCAAAAAGGGTGCTAATCAGAACTGCACCTGGGAACCCCTTCAGTGACACCCTGCGGCTTCACTGCTTTTCCTCAGCACAGCAGAGAGCAGTATTGACACAAAAAGGTGATACGTATGTTCTTTAAACTGCCAGCTTGCAAAGGACTACTGGACAGTCTTTCAAAACTGACCCTCTCAGAGTCTCTAAATATAATGTACAAGCAAGGCACAATTTAATAGGACAGGTTCAATAATACGTTAATTACAAAACCATCTTAAGACTATTCCAAATGTGCAATATTTACTAGTCCAAAGCCTGAAGAGACTTCAGCCAGATAAGAACGTTCAGTAATCAGAAAGCACACTTGCTGCAGTCATTTATCTCTTGCCACTAATGAGCAACTTCATGGTACAGCTCTAATTATATCCTTATATCCCTCTCCCAACTGACACGACTGCCTGGGAGATAGGCTGAGATGGAGGTGGAATATTACAAAGCTTGACAAAAGACCATTGCCCCTGGTGTCCAGGCCCTATTCTGGCTGAAGTCAGCTCCCTCATGAGTGCAAATGAGAGATGTAAAAGCTGAAGTCACCTGTATTTCCTTGTCAATACTGTTTCACTGGGCTTTATGTACCTGTTTCACATCAAGACAATCTTTGCTGGCAAAACAATGAATGCATGAGCATGATTCCTGCCTGTTACTCATGTCCTGGTCCACAGCTTAACCCACATACCTCCAAAACACCACATGCACCTCAGAGCAACAAAACCTCTCCAGAACTACAGGTTCAAGCCACCACTGTCCTGGAGGAGCACTGGCTATGCGGGTCGAGGCCCCACCCTGTCCTCAGGCACTGGGCAGCAGGACTAGGCAGACTGAAGGGTGCTGGTGAACCAGTTACATGACTGAATAGAGCCCACACATTCCAATCCCTGTGTCTTTCCAGCCCAGTAAAGCAAATGCCAGAACATTCACAGCATTAGCATTGACTTGCATAAACTCAACCGGCAGAGCTACAACCAAAGCACAGCCTCCCTCTCCACTGCAGTTATCCCACTAACAAAAACCCTGTAGCTGTGCCAGCATTAGCAGGGTGAAGCAGGTTTTCCTGTTGGCAGAGGGCAGTGGGGTGTGTGTGACAAGCAGGACTGAGCACACGAGTG